ACCCACTTCTGGTGCTTGCTAAAACGCATGTCCATCGAGTCAGTGATGCCATCCAACCATCTCATCCTGTCGTCCTCTTTTCCTCCTGCCTTCTGCCTTTCCTAGCATCAGAGTCTTTTCCAATGAATTGGCTCTTTGCATCAAGTGGCCAAAGTAGTGGAACTTCAGTTTCAATATCAGTCCTTCCAAAGGAATATTCAGGATTGATTTCCTTTAGGATTGACTGGTTTGATCTCCTTGCAGTCCAAGGGACTCTCAAGAGTCTCCTCCAACACTACAGTTCAAAAGCATTGATTCTTTGGTGCTCAACCTTCTTTATGGTCCAACTCTTACATACATACAAGACTACTGGAAAAAACATAGCTTTGACTATACAGACCTTTGCTGGCAAATCAATGTCTCTGTTTTTTTTTTAACACTCTGTCTACGTTTATCATAGCTTTTCTTCCAAGAAGCAAGCGTCTTTTAATTTCATGGCTGCAGTCACTATCTGCAGTGATTTTGAAGTCCAAGAAAATAGTTTGTCACTGTTTCCAATCTTTCCCAGCATCAGGGTCTTTTCCAATGAGTTAATTCTTTGCATCAGGTGGCCAAAAGATTGGAGTTTCAGCTTCAGCATCAGTCCTTCCAATGAATATTCAGGACTGATTTCCTTTAGGATGGACTGATTGGATCTCCTTGCAGTCCAAGGGACTCTCAAGAGTCTTCTGAGCACCACAGTTCAAAAGCATCATTCTTTGGTGCTCAGATTTCTTTATGGTCCAACTCTCACATCCATACATGACTACTGGAAAAACCATAGCTTTGACTAGATGGAATTTTGTTGGCAAAGTAATGTCCCTGCTTTTTAATGTGCTGTCTAGGTTTGTCATAGCTTTTCTTCCAAGGAGCAAGCGTCTTTTGATTTCATGGCTCAGCCACCATCTGCAGTGATTTTCGAGCCCCCCAAAATAAAGTCTCTCACTGTTTCCTTTGTTTCCCCATCTATTTGCCATGAGGTGATGGAACTGGATGCCGTGATCTTCATTTTTTGAATCCTGAGTTTTAAGCCAAATTTTTTCACGCTCCTCTTTCACCCTCATCAAGAGACTCACCCTAGTACTTATTTATCTTTAACTGGAACTTTGTACCTTTTGACCACCTGTCTCCAAATCCCCCTCCTGCTAACACTCTATTTATGGTAACCACAAGTCTGATCCCTTTTTCTAGGAATTCTGTGCTTTTTGTTTTGTTAAGACTCCACATATAGATAGACTAGTAAATCTGGTCTTTTGTGTTCCTATGGAACTGGGTACAGTTTCACTAGCAGATAAGATTGTCCATTTCACAGTAATGTTTATTTGTCTTTGTTCAATTGCTAAGTCCTGTCTGACTCTTGGTGACCCCATGGAGTGTAGCATGCCAGTCTCCTGTCTTCCACCATCTCCCAGAATTTGCTCAAATTCATGTCCATTGAGTCGGTGATGCTATCCAACCATCTCATCTTCTGCTGCCCTCTTTTCCTTTTGCCTCTAATCTTTCTCTTGCATCAGGGTCTTTTCCAGTGAGTTGGCTCTTTGCATCAGGTGGTCAAAGTATGGAACTTCAGCTTCAGCATCAGTCCTTCCAAGGTATATTCAGGGTTGATTTCCTTTAGGATTGACTAGTTTGATCTCCTTGCTGTCCAAGAGATTCTCAAGAGTCTTCTTCAGCATCACAATTCAATAGCATCAATTCTTTGGTGCTCAGCCTTTTTTATGGTCCAACTCTCACATCCATACATGACTACTGGAAAAACTATAGCTTTGACTATATCGACCTTTGTTGGCAAAATGATGTCTCTGCTTTTTAATACGCTGTCTAGTTTTGTGATAGCTTTCCTTCCAAGGAGCAAGTGTCTTTTAATTTGATGGGTGCAATCACTGTCTGCAGTGATTTTGGAGCCCAAGAAAATAAAATCTATCACTGCTTCCACATTTCCCCTTCTATTTGCCATGAAGTGATGGGACTGGATGCCATGATCTTAGGTTTTGAATGTTGAGTTTCAAGCCAGTTTTTCACTCTCCTCTTTCACTCTCATGAAGAGCCTTTTAGTTTCTCTAGACTTCATGCCATTATACTGTTATTGTCTGCAAGTCTGAGGTTGTTGATACTTTTCCTGGCAATCTTGAATCCAGCTTGTGATTCACCCAGTCTGACACTTACTGTGATATACTCTGCTGATCCCCTGGAGAAGGAAATGGCAACCCACTCCAGTATTCCTGCCTGGGAAATCTCATGGACAGACTGGTGAGCTACAGTCCATGGGGTCGCAAAGAGTTGGACACGACTGAATGACTTAGTTCACACTCTGCATATAAGTTAAATAAGCAAGATGGCATTATTTATTTAGTAAGATGTAATCTGATGAGTCCAGGTCACTTGGAAATTTTCCTTTTTACACCCCTAAGAGCTGTATAACTTACATAACATTTACTAGAGATCCATGCCTCTAGATGGATATTGGATTCTTATTATAGTAGGTGATCCTTTATCAGTAATATTTTGATAAGGGAATTTAAGAAATTAAAGTTCATTTTTGTTTTTTCCTAGAAAATACCTTTAGTTGATTTACTTGGAGTCCAGTTGATTTACTTGGAGTCTAGTTGATTTACTTGGAGTCTAGTTGATAAGAAATTTAGTGTGGTTCCCCTGTCTTCTTTCCTGTACTCAGGAATTTCCTCACGGTGAAGGGAGTGAATGGATAACACACCAGCTGTTTTAATTCCTTCCTCTCATACATTTATAAGCACATTATTTGCTACAATTTGGCCACCATCAAAATTGCCCCAATTATGACATTTTAACTGGACCAACAAATATATTCCATATTAAAAAAAAATTGTAAGTACAGTAATGTGAAAAAATGGCCAATTAAGACAATTAAATAAAATGATGTTCACACAGTGATATTTGACAATATGGAAATTATTCAACCTATAGAAACAAAGAAAAGATTGTGAACAAAAGTTTTGACAATACCAATAGTTTAGACATACTAAGCCTTTTTCTATACACTTGCTTTCTTTATAATGTATTTAAGGAAAAGAACTTTATTATTATACATTATTTACTACAATCATTATAGTATTTTAATTAATTACATTTTCCCACTTACTCCATATTCCACAATTTGCCTATTCTATTGTTTCCTTTTACCACAATTTATTTCTCATTTGTTTTTTACCTATCCTAAATCAATGTTTTAAATATCTCTGTGAAGTCCCATTTAATCATTAATTATGTCAACAATTTATTTTTAAAGGTTAGATCAAGAAATGATAGATTCAAGGACATAATCAAATGGATTCCTCTTGAAAATATGTGATATGAGACAGTCTATTCAGTAATATCAAGATTGTGTGCTGTACTGGGCTAAGTCACTTCAGTCGTGCCCAGCTCTTTGCAACTCTATGGACTATAGTCCACCAGGATCTTCTGTCCATGGACTTCTCCAGGCAAGAACACTGGAGTGGGTTGCCATGCCCTCCTCCCGGGATCTTCCTGACCCAGGGATGGAACTCATGTCTCTCGAGTCTGCTGCATTATCAGGTGGGTTCTTTACCACTAATGCCACCTGGGAAATCCATAGAAATAGCATGTGACCCAGCAATTCCTCTCCCAAGGATATACCCTAAAAGAGTGAAAATATGTATTCACAAAATAAACTTGTCTATGTATAGCTCATACAGACCAATAATGCAAGCATATGCCATCAACGGTTAACAAGATAAACAAAATATGGTATATCCATACTGTGGAATTTTATTCAGCCACAAAAAGTAAGAAACTAATTTTCCAGTAGTCATGTTTGGATGTGAGAGTTGGACTATAAAGAAAGCTGTGGGCTGAAGAATTGATGCTTTTGAACTGTGGTGTTGAAGATTCTTGAGAGTGGATATGAGTTTGAGCAAGCTCCAGGAGTTGGTGATGGACAGGAGGCCTTGCGTGCTGCAGTCCATGGGGTCTCAAAGAGTCGGACATGATTGAGCGATTGAACTGAACTAAACTGAACACATGCTACAACATAAATGAACCTTGTAAACATTATGTTAAGTGAAAGAAGCCAGTCACAAAAGGTCACATATTGTATGATTCCATTTATGTGAAATTTCCAGAATACAAAAATCCATAGAAGCAGAAAGTAGATTAATTGTTTACAGGGACTGGAGAGAGGGGAAATTAGGGAGTGATAGGTCCAGGTTCTCTTTATGGTATGAGGAAAATTCTGGTGGAGAGCATGAGGTACTAGTGTTCTTGAGATAGTTGGCAGAGGCAAATCTAACAATTTTGTAGTTTAAAATATACCTAAGAGTCACTAGTCATTATCTTCTAACCTTAAGCTACAGAAGACACAAATGATGTATTAAGAAAAGGCTTGGCTTTTTTTTCTTAAAGAGAGCTCTTCCAAAAATAATTCTTAAAAGTAAATATACAACGGAAAAAGTATTAATACCACCTGGATCCAAATAGTAAAATTATTTTAAATAAATTTTGGTGAGAAAATGTAAAGAAATGAAATTATGATAAATCAATGTTTCATAAGAAGGTGAATGCATTTTGCTATATTTTTAATATTGACATAGTAAAATTTAAATGTTGTTTTATAAGTTTAGCATACAAAACTTTTGACTCACCAGCTAAATACTGGTAATAAATTTAAAATATTGGACAGATCGCATGTACCAATATGTATGTATGTGATACTGGCAGCAAATATTAACTAGTATTCAATCTGAATGCCAGATGACTGATCATCTGGCTTTTGATTATTTTTATTTGAATTTGAAAAGTTTTATTATTAATATAAAATTTTCTCTAACAATTAAAATGGATACAGTTAATTTAATTGAACATCTAATTACACTTGAGTAAATTCCTCCTCCTCCAAAACACATTTTCCTAATCTAATTAGTATAACTGAATACCAATATTTTAATTATTTATTTCCCATACATTATTTCAGTTATGAACACAGTTCTTCAGAGATTTCTTTCATGCTTTTGACTAAATCTTACTGTCTTAAATAATTTTCTCAGTGCCTCCTTCATCTCCTTATTTCGGAGACTATAGATCAAAGGGTTGAATAGCGGAGTTAACACAATATAGGACAAAGTCACGTATTTTTGAATCTCTGCTGAATTGCCTGCTGTTGGGCTCACATATACAATCATGATGGAGCCATAAAACAGGGACACCACAGCCAGATGGGATCCACATGTAGAGAAAGCCTTATGTCGGCCTTCTGCTGAGGGGACCCTAAGCACAGCCCTGATAACCAGAGTGTAGGAGCTGATAATGAAGAGTAAGGTGGAGAAAATGAGGACTGAGTTAAAAGTGGCACAAATGATTTCAGTGGCAGGGGCTGGCACACAGGACAGCTTTATAAGGGGTCCTGAGTCACATAGGAAATGATCAATCTTACTGAGACAATGAAATGGGAGCTGAGAGATTAGGTGAATAGGCAAGAGGAAGTACAAAAAGCCACACAGCCAGCAGCAGGCTCCCATTCTGATGCAGCGTTGCACCGTCATGACAGTGGGGTAGTGAAGAGGCCTGCAGATGGCAAGGTACCTGTCAAAGGCCATGGCAGACAAGAAGAGGGTCTCGGTACCGCCTGTGGAGAAGAAGAGGTAGAACTGGAGGAAGCAGCCAGAGAAGGAGATGGTCTTGGTCTCAGAGAGAAAGTTGGCTAGCATATTGGGGACTGTAGAAGTGACATACCACATCTCCAGGAAGGAGAAATTGGCCAGCAGGACGTACATGGGGGTGTGGAGATGGTGGTCCCACCACACTGCACAGATAATGCACACATTTCCAGTTAGTGTCAACACATAGATCACAGAGAAGAGTGAGAAGAGGAAGATCTGAACCTCCCAGGTGCAAGGGAATCCAAGAAGAATGAATTCACTCACAGGGTCAGAGCGATTATTTCCTCTTGGGTTTTTCATTTTTTTTCCTCCTAAAACTGCAAGAGGAAGACATTATTATCTTTCAGATGACTCTACAGAAGTTTTCTTACTAAGGTATTTCTGAACTGCTTTACATTAATTCAATGAGCAGCATGATTTTAGATTACTTAAAGATTTTTAGCATTTTTTGACCCCGTGTGACACTGGGAGGAAACAAGGAACTTGGAGTGTGGGGGCTTATTATGGCCTCATCTTCATGATCATCATGCCTGTCATGGTCCATTTAAGGTCTCCCTTTGTCTGTGTCCTCAGCAATACACAAACCAAGGTAGATACTCCTTGCCATTCTGAGGCTTCTCCCCCCCGCCCCCAGAGAATGGAAAGCAAAGTTTAATAAGAATATATTTTTTTTTAACTTTCAATCTTGGAGGATATACAAAAGCAAACAGAAGAGTATAATGAATCTTTACACATTTATCATATAGCTTTAACAATTATTCATGGGCAGGCAAACTTGCTGTAACTCCACCTACTTCCATACCTCCCATATTATTTCAAAGCAGATACCAAATGTATGATTTCATTACAAAATATTTCAGCATACAACCCTGGAAAAATTTAAAAACAATAATCAAAATATCTCTATGTAATCTAAAAATTAATAATTCCTTAATTTTATAAACAGTTAAAATTTCCAATTGCTTTATGTCAGACTTGTTTTGTTTTGTCTTACAATTTATTTGTTTGTTTATTTGTTTTTTGGTCATGCCCACTCAGCTTGTGGGATCTTAGTTCCCCAACCAAGGATTGAACCCAGGCCCTCGGCAGTGAAAGCATTGAGTCCTAACCACTGGAAGGAAAGGAATTCTTCAGCTTGTTTGAAGTAGGAGCCAAATAAAGTTCACATTTTGTCACTGGTTCCTATGTCTGATGCATCTTTCAATCAGTAGTTTCCTTATTCATTCCTTTTAAAAATTTCTATTATTTTTAGAATTATTTTAATTTGAGTATAGTTGCTTTACAATATTGTTAGTTTTGTGGTTCAGAAATGTCCACCTGAGCCAAACTTACATAAGGACACATAGACGTTTAAACAACTGTACAGTTCATTCTCTGTGTAAATAGAAGAAAATGTTGTGAGAATATATAGCCACAAAGCAAGACTTTGTTTATTACTGTAAGCTTTAGTAATAACACATACATAGTTTTAGATGGGGGTTTTGTTTATGTACTATTGGAAGTGTTGGAAAAGAGATAAAGAACACAATATTTACCAGTGATTCCTTATAGCAAGGCCAATTATGAAGTTCATGTACCCTCTTATTTTTAAGATCTCTATAAAAAGATTCCACAATTTTCATTGTTAATTTCTCTCAGTGTTTGTACAATTCTCCAATGTACTCTTCATTTTTAACTTGGTCCTCTTTGTAGGCAGAGGACATGCAAAGACGTTCTCTGGCTCAAATGGTGAAGAATCTGCCTGCAATGCAGGAGACCTGGGTTTGATCTCTGGATTGGGTAGATAATCCCCTCCAGTATTCTTGCCTGGAAAATCCCATGGACAGAAGAACCTGGTGGGCTTTAGTCTATTGGGTCGCAAAGAGTTGGACATGACTGAGCGAATTTCATGTCACTTCACTTCTTTGTAGGCAAGAATTTCTTGCTTAAGAGGAATAAGCTTCATGCACAGTCACCTTGAATAACATTTTAAATGAAACTGGTACGCATGAATTAAGTTCAGACTATAACGTGACATTTAATTGAAAATTTATCCCAAGTTGAGGACACAGGCTCAGTCCTCAGTTGAAATTTATCACATGATGGGAAAGTACTTCATGGTGGTACTTTCTCTCTATATATATATTTTGCCACATAGAGCAGAAATAGCTACTGTGATATATATATCATTAAAGCACTCTGAGTTTTGAATTACATTAACTGAAGTTCTGTTCATGGACTATTCATTCTCATTTTTCTCTCTCTGTCTTTTTTATTCGAGACTTCTATGTTAGAGTTCCTTCAGGTTCCCTTGACCTATACATTTTTTTCAGGACTTAGTCCTTGATATTTTCCTTTTCCAATTATGCTCTCTCTGTTAGTGATTTGTCAACTAGCCACATGATATAAAAACCACCCATGTGAGATGAGGTCACATTTTCTCTCCCTAACTGTGGAGTCTCTTATACAACCTAGATTTATCTACCCAATTTTGTATTCAATGTCTCCATTTGCTACTGAGTGTAACAAAAATGCAAGAAATTGAAAGTCATTCAGTCGTGTCCGACTCTTTGCGACCCTATGGACTATACAGTCCATGGATTTCTCCAGGCCAGACTACTGGAGTGGGTAGCCTTTCCCTTCTCCAGGGGATCTTTCCAACCCAGGGATCAAACCCAGGTCTCCCACATTGCAGGCAGATTCTTTACCAGCTGAGCCACAAAGGAAGCCCCAAAGGCAAGAAGCCCATGACAAATCTCTTGGTTCTTCTCACCCTGAACTGGTGGGTCCTTGCTTCTTTGCCATATCATCCAATGGCACCTCCATTTATTAGTTATGGCACCTCCATTTATCAGTTGCTCAGGCCACAAACTTTGGCCACATCCTCACCACACCTCTCAATAGTCCACATCCAAATCATCAACAAAATCTCTACGCCTGCTGTTCAAAACATAGGTAAAAAAAATGATCATGTCAACTACTTGTTGTCAATCTTTTTTTATTTTTTAAAAAATATTTATTTAGTTTCAGCTGTGCTAGGTCTTCATTGCTGGGCAAGCTTTTCTCTAGTTGCATTGAGCAGAGGCTATGCTCTAAGTTGCAATGCATGGGCTTCTCATTGCCGTGGCTTCTCTTCTTGCTGGCTCAAGGGCGTGTGGGCTTCAGTCGTTGTGGCACCCGGGTCCTAGAGCACAGGCTCAGCAGTCATGGTGCAAGGGCTCAGTTACCCTATGGCAGGTGGGATCTTTCTGGATGAGGGATGGAACCTGTGTTTCCTGCATTGGCAGGCAAATTCTTTACCACTGAGTCATCAGGGAAGCCAACTCTCAATCTCTTGAACACAATTACAACAAAACAAGGCAACACACTTGTACGGGAGAAAGTCTCAATCCATGAAAACAGATACATGAAGGGAGTCTACTCAAGACAACCTCCTCCAAGCTATCTCTCTTTGAATCACTGTGTCTTTCTTTACGTTCCCTCTATCCACTCATCTTCATGCTCTGTGCGTTCTTATTGTTGCTAAGTTATAATCATGCTTTAAGGGTGTTTGTTTGTATATGTTTGTGTGTGTGTGTGTGTGAACACACACTCTGGTTTTGCTGTCTATGCTTTCACTATTTTTCTGTATCTAATTATAAACATTTTAATTGAGTGGCTCTTTAAATGGGTAAGTGAACTGTTTTAAATTTCTCCCTCTTAAAGAAAATGTGTTTATAGTTTATAACTGATTTTTTTCCCATGTGGTTAGCCAAAGTACTTTAATAGAAAAATGTACTTTTCTTACTGTCTGATATTTTCCTCTGTCCCATATTCAGGGTCAAGAAATCTGGTATATGTCACTTGAATAAGTAATAAGATAGAGAATAAAGTGGTCATTCTACAATTAATTCCTGGCCTATGTGGTTTTGTGGTTCAGTTAACATATCAACTTAAGTGAGATATTATTTTTCTTAAATATACTTACTTATATATTTATAAATAACACACATATAACCTAACATTTAATTAAATCAGTTTTGATACTAGATGCTCTCTTATACAGTTGAGAATCTAACCAATCATATGCAAGCTATTCTAGTTTACATTTTTATATGAAGAAACTACAATATGGAATTAGAGAAAAGTGAAAAAGACATTATGGAAAATTTGAGTTGTATCTTACCTGAAGTTTTCGTGTGAAAATTATAGTATCTGGTAGAGGCAGACTCCAAATTTATATTTTTCTCTCCTGGAGTATGCAGTCAGCCTCAGTCTCCTTGTTCTTTCATTTCAGCAGAAGGAAATGCACAACGAATTCGAACTGGCATCCGAGTATCTTAGATGACTTCTTAGTGGAGTGGGGTGGGGGGAGTGAGTGTTGGAAGGTAATATTATGAAGTATAGTAATTATTTGAAGCCCACAGAATGACCATATTATTTAAACAATTTGAAAAGGTGATCCCATGTGGTTATAAATGTCAATGTGGTCTTTCCTGATTTAAGAAGAACCAATCACACCCTTGTCTCTAAAGAAGGGTATGCATTAGTAGCAAGCAAATTCTGAGACATGGCTATTTTGTTCTCAACACTCTACCCTGGGAGGAGATGGTCCAATGTACTCCATGGGTGCAGTCAGACCTTACTACTGAGCTCCTGTTCATAGCATGCTTTTTAATAAATATATGAAGATTGTGTCTGACTCTCCTAGATTACCAAGCTTCTCCCAGTGGCTTCACCTAGGGATAACAATGAGAAAATTTTGGCCAGATCTCAGAAAATGTTGGTTCAGCCTTTAGGGGAAAAGGGAAAGATGATGAGGCAAGCCTGAGGTCCAAGTTGAAGAATAACTTGGCTTTAAGCCTTGAATCAGAGCACTAAATACAACCAGCAGCATCTGTATATATTTTTATAGTAGTATAGCTATTTTTCTCCACAATAGAGGTGATATTGGCATTATGAATGAGAATGTAAAGGCAAGAGTTCTACGAAGTCAAGGATATAGAGACAGAAGTTAATTATTGCAAAAAATTTACAAAACACTTCAATATCTTGCTCCATCTGTTCCCCTCTTAACACAATTCTACACCTGAACCAACCCCAAGTATTCTATGGTAATGTTTAGATTTTGGGATCAGTAACAAGTGTTCCAGGCTTCCCAGGGGGCACTAGTGGTAAAGAACACACCTGCCAATGCAGAAGACATAGGAGATGTGGGTTTGACCCCTGGGTGGGGAAGATCCCCTGGAGGAGGGCATGGCAACTCACTCCAGTATTCTTGCCTGGAGAATCACATGGACAGAGGAACCTGGTGGACTATAGTCCATAGGGTCACAAAGAGT